ATAATCGCAGTAAATATTTATTGAACTAAGTGTACTGTTGAACGGGTGAATAAATAAAGAAAAATGAAATAATGGAGAAATAAGTGAAAGCGAATGCATGATGAAAAATGCTTGACTAACATGGTTAAATCATTTTAGATTATTCAAGTATTATCAATAAATCTACATTTTGCATTTCAATACACCAAAGAATTAAAATGAGATATGAGATGTTAATCCACAAGTAACTACAATTTTTTTCTCAAAATCAAATCTGGTTTATTCTTTTACCAGAGAAGTCCTACAGCTTGTGTTTTTACTATGTCATTCACAGTTTCTACAAAAAGGCAGCAGGATGCCAAACTGAAAATAAGAGAAATTATGCTGTGTCAGAAAAAAACTGGCCATAAATGAATGCTGTCAGAACCACTCAGCACAAATAGGTCAGGGCAACTTTTGGATGTTCTTGCTGAGTTATCTAAAAATAATGCAACATTCACACCAGATTTTTAATGTAGTAACAGTAAATACTTCCAAATATAGCAGGATTTGCAGAAATTCAGTCTAATAAAGTGAATTTGAATATATACCTCAAGCTGACAAATAAGAAAACACTCTCAAAGGACAAAGTTCTGATTATGAATGAGTCCTTCAATTTCAGAGATGTTTTTGTTTTTTCAATCTCCATAACCAGAGCAGGGAATGCTACAGCATCAGGATATATTAGTCACTCTGTACAAAAAGATGGAAAGAGGAAGCAGGAAAACTCAGTTGATTAAAAGAAATAAGAGTAAAGAAAAAATACTGGGGAATATGAAAGTTATTAGTGTCCACCAGACATACCTGGTCTACATCTTCCAAACACAAGAGACTATATTTCTTGTCCCCTACTGTGGCTAGTTTGAGCCACTTCTATCTCGTCAATGGGTTATGAACAGTAGGGAAGTGACTTTCTCACAAGTCAGAGCATCAACTACCAGGCCCTCTAGAAATCTCTTCTGGCCATAGTGAAATGCAAGGTTTATAGTGGCAGATGCTTCAAAACCTTAGCAACAGAAGGAAGAGACAGAACAGAAACCCTGGCAACAACCAGAATGAGTTAAGTAGCCTGAGTGAAAAATAAACTCAAATTATAAAGTCATTAAGATTCAGAGGTTATTTGCTAGCACATAACCTGTTTTTTCCTGATACATATATTCAGGCTCTTTCTTTCCTGTAATGATGCCAGATTCTCTGTATTGTGCATTACATATGAATTTATTCTTACATTAAAAACTCTTAGGGCCCTCTTAGGGTGGCGCAGCGAGTTAAAATACAGCACTGAGAAGCTAAAGCCACTTCCGCATGAGTTTGATTCCCGCCTGCCCCAGAGGTGACCACATGGCGTGGCAGACCTCTCCTGACCCGCCCGCTGCTCCCCTCAGCAGTGTACTTCATCGATCTGCCTGTTCTGCTCCCCACTCGGTTTATGGTGAAGCCTCTCGCCGCCCCTGAGCCTCTGACCTGTACCCCAGTTCTGTATGCACAAATAAATAAATCTTAAAAAAAAAAACAAAACAACAACTCTTAGAACAGGGTGATGTTACAAATATTTAAAGTTTGTCACGCTGTGTGAAACTATTAGAGAAACAATGACAATCCTTGCCTTTATTCACTTATACACCATAATCTAAAGAAAAGTCCTAGAATGAGTCTATTTCCAGGAAAGTTTATTTTTAACAACGTTTGGACCATCCTAATGAAAGTTTCAAGAAAGTAACCCTGTAGAGGAAAATTTAAGAATGTTCTTATTTAAAGAAAATTGAAAATATATATTAATGTGGTCTTTACCAAATTATTCCAGATACATTTTTTTATAATAAATTTAAGCAAAGTATTATTTCCATGTAATTGTTGTTCAAAGAGTTAGTACATTCTGCTCTTTCCCTTTTAGATGGAAATATTTGGAAGGTATGTGCAAAAACACTAGAGTGCATTGTAGTGGGCTGTAGTTTTGAATGTAGGTTAGCACATAACCTAGTTTATGCTTTTTTCATTAACCATAGAATGTAAATTAAATGATGAGATATTAGTTGCAAAATCCAAAAGAAAATAGGAAAGACAAAATTTTATACGTTTCTTGGAAACTCATACATATAAGTTGTTTATTTTAACAACTGTTACCTGTAAATTCCGTGAACATATTTCTATTTTAACCAAGTTTCTGTTTCTACCATAATAGGCAATGTCTATTAAAACAATGGTGTAATCCTGCCATCTAGTGGCAAAACTACATCATAGCCTAGACATTTTTGAAAATATATAAAGAATACCCCCTCCCCCAAATAAAAACAAAATAATTTAAAGGCTTTTTATTTAGAATGTTTCTAGGTAACCTTTTTACTCCTTATCCGATAAATATTTTCTTTGAAGTTTGAATGTATAGTAACTACAAAAAATGCCATTATTAGGAGAAGTGAAACTTAGTTGCTTCAATATATGGTTAGCTTTATGAATTCAGACTTTTCTCTAAGTTTGGTAAAGAAATTTCTTTCTCTGATTATTTCAATATTTATCCAACTTGTTTTAAATTTTATGTATAATTTTATTTATTTATATATTTATTTATCATTTATTTATTTATTTACTTAAGTAATGCTGGTATTATCACTGTAGTGCACCTCCCAACATCTCACCCATATTTCAGCACTACAGACTACTGTACCATTATGTAGAATTCTTTTTCACTGCAGTTTTGTCCATAATATGGTTTATTCCTGTTAGAATTGAAATTCCCTGCAATTTATTGATCTTTCTTCATACCTTCCAACAAACCTCAGCATATTTCTGTCTAGAAGTCTTTATTACCTATCACTTTTACTACTTCTTAATATCACCTTTAAATTAAATATGCAATGATACTTGCAATCTAGACTTAGTTATATCCAACTCTAGTTAGATTAGCTATTTCCTCAATTGAATCAAAAAAAACATTTATTCCAAGAATATCTTGATTCTGCCATTGAACATGACATTATTTCTACATACAGTTGGTCTTCCCTCTACCTTAACTTTTCTCTTTGCGATAGAAACTTTATCTTTCAGAACTCAGTTTAAAGATACTCTTAACTCACATAGAATGTTGTTTAGCATAATAGTTAAACCTGCTAGGCGTCAGAGCAAGTTCTTAAATATTATCTAGCTTGCAAGATCCTATTTATAATGACAATATATCTGAGTTTCTAATGTGGATTAAACTGATAAAGTAATCTACTGTGTAATAAGTAATAAATGTTAATGTTCACTATTGCTAAAAGTGACAGTTTTGCATTTTGACTGAAAATTTTAAATCTTGGAAGTGTATCTGAGAAGACTGATTTTTGTGATGTAATAATTTAAATGTAATACAAAAAAACAGAAAATGTAAAAGATCAAACTTTGGGCAAATGTAATATATAGTGCACAATCATTAAGCATATAAAGACCTCTTTATATTCCATGAAGATAAATGTTTCACAATTTATTAGTCATTACTTGCAATTTTTGCATAAATTAGTACTATTCTTTAACATGTTAATTACTTACACAAAAACATTAATTACAACAATAATTCCAATGCACAAAACAGCAATAATATAAAATATGATAAAACACCATTATGTATATACAAATACAAAGCTTCTCACAAAATCATTTTTTGGTATACTTGAAACAAAAACCCCATATCATGAGTTATTTTGTAGTTAATGATTTGTCAAAAAAAATAAAACCTGGCAAGCTTTTAATCGAAAGGCTAGAACTTTTAACTTTAAAGTGCAATCGATTTGCTATCACTCAGTGTTGCCTCAGTAACTTAAGACATTTCCAGAGAACAAATACAGAATTAGATGAACCAATATTTTCATTTGAAACATAGTATTGCAAATGCATAGTGATATCAAAAGAAAATTTAGCTTGAAACATTTCACATATATATCCATGAACATAATTAGGCTAATTTTTTTTTTTTTTTTGAAAAACACTTAAGCCTCCCTGCTGGTGCAGAGGTTAAAGTCTCAGCGATATCAAACTATCCCCAGCTACTGCCACATGAGTTCAATCCAGACAACGAGCTAACTCACATGGCACAGCAGACCACTCCTATCTGGCTGGCTGTTCCTCTCAGTAGTGTACTGCAGTAGATCTATCTGGTCTGCTCCCCACTTCATCGTCTCTGTTAGTCCTCTCACCCCCACCATACTGGCCTCCAACCTTGTTTTTGTATGCATAAATAAATAAAAATACATCTTTAAAATAATCTCTTAAATTACATGAATCATGCACTGCTGAAGACACACTTGTATGAAAGTGAGCAAAGTGAACTCCAAAGCAATAAACACCCCACTATTTGTGATACCTGAGTACTTATGGACCCCTTGGGCTGCAGCCTCTTTATCACATAATGAAGGAACTTCATACATTTGCCTTTATGATAACCCAGCCCACAAGTGCAAGTCCAGACCCCAGCCATCCACACACCATCTACACCTCACCATAATCCTGCAAAATGTTAAAGATTGTGTTGAGCAGTTCACCCTGCACAGTAGGCTCTTCACCCCACATGGAAGGACAAATGTGGAAGGAAAGGCAGAATAGAGTCCACTAAAGGTTCTAGATTGGTCCCTGCATAAGTTGCAATTCATGAAAGAGTATTTATTAGAGTAGCTATAGAGTGGAGATATGGTGTGAAATGATGGTGTCAAAGCATTCATCCTAGAATCAGCATTCATTCTAGCTTGTGTTGACAAGGGTCTTGCTCTAAATTGAAAATACCAAACTATCCATGGGGCAAAAAGATAAAAATTAAGGGTAGTAATCATGATGTGTTCCTATCTTTTATGACTCACATAAACTGAAGTGAAAACAATCTCCCTGTAGAGAAAAATTTTACTTTTAAGTATTAGTTGTTTATTCTTCTATCTTTTAATTTTTTCAAGAGGCATGAATATACTAAATGTATAATAAAATAGCTTAATTATATGAAGACATTTGTATAGACTTACCATGCTGTTCATTTTTGAAGATGATGAACCTGCTCTTTGCTTTCTTAAACTAGTAATTTCATCTGCATTTCCATCTTTGGGCTTTAAAATCAGTCTGCTACTCCCTGCAGTTCCTTCTGATGAGGATCGCAGCCGTCTCTCTATAAATCTTCCTTCACGATTTGGACTGAGGCTACTGGCAAGAACTATTAAAGAAAAATTAATTAAAGTCAATATAAGTATTTAAATACAAATTTTATGAATGGCTCCCTTTGAACGCAAATGGGAATCTAATGACATTTATAAATTTTACATTATCAATATGTTTGAGTCAGTGGTAACTTAATTTCCTCAATATTGTACCAACTTTGAAGCTTCAAATCTTTGGGGCTATCTGTGCCTTCTTCACACTTCACATAATTTCCATTAGCAAATCCTGTTTACCAGCTTCAAATTGTATACTGAATCTGATCACTTCTTATACCTCTCCCACAACATCTGACACAAACTCTATCAATACTTGTCTGTAATACTGCAATATTTAACTATAATAATAGCCCCCTTCCTCTGACTCTTCCGCTCAGCATTCCCCCAGCAATACATAATCTTCTTTCCACATGGGAACCACAATTATAAACTTAAAATATAATAGAGATTGACCATAACTACACCTGTATGTTTTCCCAGTGTCTTCCCAATTTCCTCTCATATCACTCTACAATTTTCCCCAATGCTGAGGACACCAGTGTTCATCTTTCAACATTCAAGCTCATCTTCTACTGAATCCATATCCTTCACTTTGCCCTGGCAGAATGGATCCCTTGCTTTTTATATAACATCACAGAAATTCTCCAGGCCTAGAAACTCCTTCACCCCATCACCTTTGCAGTAATATACTTTTCTCAAATATACACATGACTTACCTCTTAATCACCTTCAAATGTTATCTTATAATTACAAAAGCAAACCTATAAATTATAAATAAGTAATTATAAGTGCAAGCTTATAACTAATAAATGCAAATTTCAAATGTTAAAGTAGCCAAAGGAGGAATTAAGAAAAAGAAAACCATCCCTATTTCAACAGCATCAAACACAATAAAGTACTTCATAAGAAATTAAACTGAGAAAAAAAAATCTTTATTTGAAAATGATATGACATTAATGATGAAAACACAAATAAATGTAAAGGTATTCCATGCTCATGGACTGGAAAATTTGCCAAAATGGATGCAGCATACTTCTCTTGTCTCTGCCACTACTGCTATTTACAGTGTATTTCAACAAATCCTCCTTTTCTGTTCTCTCTGGTGAAATCTTTCACCCCTATACTTCAGGCCTACATCATTATTTTTCTCCACAAAGAAGAAAAAGATTCAATGCAACTTTGATGAAAATTACAATGCAAAAAAAATATTACAATAGCATCTTAATGTTAATAGAAAAAAATTGTAAAATTTACATAGAACCAGAGAAGATACAAAATAGGCAAAGCAACCTTAATCTCTCGATAGAATAGCCAAACTGGAGATATTACATAACTTACTTCAATTATATTACAAAGATATATAAAGATGTTATCATACTGGCATAAAAATAGACACATAAATCAATGGAATGGGATTAAAAAGACAAGAAATAAATCCATGTACAAAAGGGCAGTTATTTTTTTTAAAAAGACTCAAGAGTATGCATTGGGAAAAGGGTAACTTCATTCTGTGGTGTTGTAGAACCTATATAGCCACATGCAAAAGAAAGAAATTGGATCCTAACATCCTTCTCACCATGCACATAAATCAACTTACAAAGTATTAATGACTCAAACATAAAACCTGAAACTGCAAAGTTCCTAAAAAAACACATAGTACATAAATTCCTTTACATTGGCCTTGATAATGACTACCAGGCTTTGATACCAAAAGCAAATATAATCAAAACAAACAAACAAAAATAACAAATGAAGCTACTTCAAACTACAGAGTTTGTAGATAGCAAAGTAAAAAGACAACCTAGGGGGTGGGAGAAAACATATGTAGACCACATATTCAATAAGGAAGTAATATTCAAAATATACAAAGAACTCAAACAACAACATAAGTCAAAATCAAAATGGGCCAGGCCCTCCCTGGTGGCACAGCAGGTTAAAGCACAGCACTGAAAAGCTAAAGCCACTTCTACATGAGTTCGATTCCTGCCTGCCCCGGAGGTGACCACATGGCGTGGCAGACCTCTCCTGACCAGCCCGCTGCTCCCCTCAGCCATATACTTCATCCATCTGCCTGTTCTGCTCCCCACTCTGTCTCTGGTGAAGCCTCTCGCTGCCCCTGCACCCCAGTTCTGTATGCATAAATAAATAAATCTTAAAAAACAATGTGCCAAGGACAATGACATTTTCCTAGGACATATTTACAAATGAACAACAGGTACATGAAAAAAATACTCAAAATCAATACTCACCAGTGAATTGCAAATTGAAACTACCGCATCATAACACCTTAAACCTGTTCTGATGATGAACAAAAAGTCAAAATATAACAAGTGTTGGCAATATGGTGGGAATATAAACTAGTATTGCCACTACTGAAAACAGCATGGAGGTTCTTCAAGAAATTAAAAATAGAATTACCATGTGACCCGACAATTCCACACCTGGTTACCTATTCAATTAAACAAAATTATGTCAAAAATATGTCTTCATAGACAGATATAGAAAGAACCTAAGTGTCTTTCAAGGGATAAACTGATAGTGAATATAATTCAATTTTTTCTAAAAAATAAAGTAAGCCCAATAAGTAGTAATTATATGGATTAACCTGGATGACATTATACCAAGTGAGATAAGTCAGATAGAGAAAGACAAATAAATAACGGCATCACTTAGAAAAAGAACCTTCAAAAAAGAAAGAAAAGGTGTGGTAGCAATAGGGAAAGAGAAAGCAAAAAGGAAACAATCCAATAAATAAAACTTAAATTGCATGAGAGTTTAGAATTTCATGATTAATTTTGATGGAACTGTACATCTAATATCTTCAGATATGTGTTAAGTATTTATTTAGACATGTTGCATTATAATTCAAAGTGAATTTAGTATTTCAGAATTATGTAAATGCAGCTCTTTTTGGATGAAAATACAAATGTTAACTGGTGTTAAATTTTTAAGTTCCAAATTATAAAACCCATATGAAGAGCAGATAAATGCCTCCATAAAAGAAAGTTTATTATTTTTTCCTGTTAACATTACAATATTATTTCCATTATCTCTCTATATTCTATAAGTTATAGATAATATGACTAGATAGCCAAGATACAGGAACTGGTACCACAGTGCAAATTCAGAGAAATTACTGAGCTATGTTAAATGGCTTACAAATGAGGTGTTAGATGTTGATAACAAATTAATTGTCAATAATACAACTGTTTATCATTAACTAAAGGACATAAAAACAATTATATGTAAGGTTTAACTTGAAATTGAGACAAGTCATCATTGTTAAATTAGAACTAACTATATCAGGATAATTAATTTTCCAAAATTTTGTGCTATTTCTTTTAACACTGTCTATATTTCAATCTGAGGGTCACCACCTGCTTGCAATGTGATTTCATTATATTTAACTTAATCCCAAACCTTAGGTATTAACTTCCACATAAAGTGGTGTTATTATTAAAAAAAAAATGCACGTGAATGGCTTAACACATTTTTGGCAGATATTAAGTGTACAAAAGAATCATCATCAGCATCATGCTTTCATAAGTAGATTATAGTTAAGAAATCCAATAGGTATAAATAAACCCTAAAGTACAAAGAAGGGAGCCACACTGTAGAAGAAGAAAATTAGGCGACTATCCCAACCCATACACAAAAAAAACTCAAAATGGAAAAAGACATGAACATAAGACCTGAAATCATCAAATATGTAGAAGAAAACATAGGCAAAACACTCCATAATCTACATTTCAGAAACATCTTTAGAAACATCCTCTGAAGCACAGAAAGTGAAGGAAAAAATAAAAAGCTGTGATTGCGTTAAGCTAAAAATCCTCTGCATAGCAAAGGAGACAATAACCAAACCAAAGATATACCTACCAAATGGAACAAAATATTTACCCTCCACACAAATGATAAGGGGCTAATTTCAGAGATAAACAAAAGCTCACAGTATTCAACAAAAACAAAGCAAAAGATCCAGTCCAAAAATAGAAAAAAAAATGGGCAAAAGAGTGAAAAAGATACTTCTTCAAAGAGGAAATGCAAATGGCACAGGTATATGAAAATGCTCAATGTAACTTAAAAAAGGGGAAATGCAAATCAAAACCACAATGAGATATCACCTTATACCAATGAGAATAGCATATATTAAAAAACAAAAAAACAACAACAAAAACTGGCACAACAAATGCTGGTGAGGATGTGGAGAGAAAAGAACTTGCTGGTGACAATGTGGAGAAAAAGAACTCGCTTGTAATGTTAGTGGGAATGCAAAGTGGTCCAACCACTTTGGGAAACTGTATAGAGAACCTTCAAATTATTAAAACCAAAGCTATCCTATGACCCAATAATTCCACTTCTTAGAGACCCAAAGTTCGCAAAAACATTAACTCCAAAAGAAACCTGCACTCCTATGCTTAGCACAGCACTGTTTACATTAGCTAAACTATGGAAACAACCTAAATGTAAAAAAAAAAAACAAAAACAGACGACTGGATCTAGAAAATGCGGTAATATACACAATGTAATTCTATTCAGTAAAGATAAACTCATGCCTTTCACAGCAACATGCAACATGGATCAAACTGGAAGGGCTTATGTTATATGAAATAATTCAAAAAAAAGAGAAAAATATTGGATGTTACTTACAGGAAGAATATAGGGAAAACAAAGGATCAGGGGGAAAAGACAAAAATAGCAAGAAAACTATAAATTGGAAATATCCAGCTGGGAGGGCCAGAGGTAGGGAGAGGGATCAAAACATGAAAGTGAAGAGCACGGCAGACTATAGTGACAGTTCACAGGTGTCTCCATGGTGACAATTTTATGGGAATTACACCTTAGGAAAGAATAAACAATGATATAAAATGTATATAAATAATAAAAAAGAAAAAATGTGTATACAAGAACAAAAATGAAGACAATAAAGATTATATATGTCAAACCCAAATAAAATAAAATTGATATATTCATAGAGACACTAGCTTGATATTAAACAGTATCTAAAGATTATTAACTATTTTTTTTAATTTTATTACATCCCTATTCAAACTTATCATTCCTAGTATACCTCATTATTTTATTAGGTGTGTTTATTTATATAAACCAATGCTCTTTTATCTCAACCATAACATAACATTTCAACAACTATCAGAACTGTTCACTAATATGTTTCCTGGTAATAGTGGCCAACAGTGATAGGTACAAATAGAAACAAGTAACTATAACTCTCATCCAACTATCCCCTAAAACATAAGAATTCTAACTCTTACTTGATAGATTAAAAAACTGAATATAGAATGGGATTACACCTAATTAGGCACAAATATGACCTATTTTCTTTATTTGGAAGGAAAATGCACTTTAAGGAGATGTGCCAACCTAACAAGGCATGGATTGTAATCACTCCACCACCTGAAGGAGCATAGTGTTCAAATCCTAAAGCATTACTTATTAACTCTGTGACTCAGGACACAGAATTTAACCAATCTGTATACCCAGTATCTCTCTTATAAATGGGTTACAAAATAGTAGTGATATAATCATCTGTAGATAAAATGAATAAGAGTACTCAAAATGCACAAAACCTTCAGTAAAATATAAGAACATTCAGTACTGGAAGATCTAGTAGTTAACAACTATAATGGTAGTAGTAGTAGTAATAATAGCAGAAATAACAGCAGCAGCAATGATAATAGTAAACACAGTAAGGGGGAAAAAATGACAATCACAAGTATGGATTTATACCATCTAGTGGATGGCATAAATTTAACATTTTCTTGAATGAAATTTTATATTAAATAAAGTTTTCTGTTAAGTAACAGACTTTGGCAATTTCCTCTGTTTTAAATCAGAGAAAGGCCCCACTGTCACACAAGTAATTAATGACAAAGGCAAGATTCTTTGTTGACCCCAGGTTCCAAGGACAAAATTTTAAAATCTGAAAATATGTTGCACATAAAAATTCAGACTAATTATTCTGAAACACTGATCCTATTTAATTATGAAAGCTTTGTTAAAATAGAAAATAGAATCTAAATTTTACAAAGTCCTCTTCTAGTAGTTTTGACTGGAGTATATCAATTCACTTAGAAATAGTATTCTAAAATGAACTTAAAAAATTTATTTCAGATAAACTAACATTACATTGAAAATAAAATTACCCTCCTTCCACTTTCCTCTGGGGATCAGAGTCTGTATAATTACAAACAAGAAAACTGAATAGTACTGCTGAATTACATCTTCCGCATGATACAAGTGAACTAAATATACAATTAATAGAGAAAATATTTAAATTAAATAACAAATAAGAAAGAATGCTAGAGAGTGAAAAATAAGAATTTGGTATTTACTCAAAAAATTCAGTAAGTAATATTGACTTGAACAAGTTGTAATTTATAGCATTTATTCCACAAAGAGAAAATAATTTGTGTCATTTATTCTACAAAGAGACTTAGCCTACCTTTGGCAGGATTTGTGTCATATCCATATGTTTTGTTAAGAATATGGCGATCACCAGAAGAGGGTATTATCCTTGAATCTGAAATAGGATGAATTCCTTTAACGCGTTCAGCTATTACTTTATTTTGTTCATAAAACCCAAGCTTCCTTGGCGAGCTTGTTGCCAGCATTTTCTCACCATTTTGTAATACCATATGTTCTTCTTTTTGCCTATCTGCTGACAGGTGAGTCTCTGAGTCTTTTCCATTCATCAAAGGTAATTCCGTGATTTGCATAAACACCTCCTTTTGATTAGCAGCAGAAGTTTCTGGTAAGGAATTAGATTCAATGCTATATCGACTTTCTAACCTGTATTTCCCAGAAGACATAATTGCACAGGGAACAGTTGCTAAAAGGTCTGTTGTCTTTGTAACAGCAGCAGTATTAGAAGAGAACTGAGAGGTAGAATCATTGTGACCAAAGTTGCCACAGTGGGATGCCATGCTTCCACTTTTAGGAAACACATCTGCTTCAGACATAGAATCCTCAGTCAATGCTAAGAACTCTGAAGGTGTCTGAACTGTTGTAAGATCCGCAGAGAGCAGCGGGGATTGTAAAGAGCTTCCTGGCCTTTCTGTTACATCTACAGAACAAGATGGAGAAGCTCTTACTAATACAGGTTCTCTCTCTTGATAGTGTGTAATTTCCAATGAGAATCCAGATTGTTGGACCAATGAAATGGACTGACTTTGTGGAACTGGCTTAGAAAATTTATGGTGAGAGGAAAAGGATTTTGTAAGCAGCTTCTTTGTTGATTGCTTAACAGAACGGCGAGTTGGTTCTTCTGTGAATCCAGAATCATCCCCCTCACTTTTTCCAGAACTTAGGCAATTTATAAAAACATTCTTATTGGTCGAGTGCTCCTTTTCAAAGTCCTCTGTCAAAGATCTTGTTATCTTCTTATTTCGTGAACCACTAAAAGCAACAGAATGTTTCCCCCTGGTTTTAATATGTTCTTCCAAACTCAGTTTTTGCACACTGCCATGACCAGGGTGAGCACCATTTGAAATACTTAGATTCTGGTTGGTAGGTTCTGGTTTAGGTTCACTCCCCTTCTTATGGTGGAAGCTAATGGAAGGAGTACGAAATATACTCCTGCGTTTACCTGTGCTGCCTGAGCTTGAATTAGTGCTGGAAGGAGAGGAACTGTGCACACCAACTGTATTACTGGAGGAGGGTGAAGAAGGAAGAGATTCATGTCTTCTGTTAATACTTTTTCTGAATATTGGCAACCGGGAGACCAGGGTAGATCGTCTTGATCCAGAGTCCCCCATTGGGACTCCAAGGAGTGCACTGTGATAGCCAACTTAGCAGCCTGAGAAGAGTTAAAACAAAAAAGAATAAGTCAATGGAGTTCCATTATAACATATTTTAAAGTAAAATATCATTCTTCAAAACATGTAATGTGGTTTATTTATTTCAATAAATATGTTTGTAATTAAGTTTGTACTGATGCCTCATAATTGCCACTTCTTCATCAAAATGCCTACAAATCATCCACTTAATCCATTATAAAAAAAACTGTATAAGTCTTTATCAAGCATGGTATTTTGAGGATTTAAAGGACCTTTTTAACTTTTGGCCCACTTCTGTGGGTTTTTCCTTTGTTTTATTTCATTTTAAAACAATGTTTGGGGCCCTCCCTGGTGGCGCAGCGGGTTAAAGCACTGCACAAAGAAGCTTAAGCCACTTTCGCATGAGTTCGATCCCCGCCTGCCCCGGAGGAGATCCACATGGCGAGGCAGACCTCTCCTGACCCGCCCGCTGCTCCCCTTAGCGGTGTGCTTCGTTGATCTGCCTGTTCTGTACCCCACCCCGTCTCTGGTGAATCCTCTCACCATCCGCATCTCTGGCCTGTACGAATAAATAAATAAATCTTTAAAAAAACAAAACAAAACAAACAAAAAAAAATGTTTACTGCCCCTTTCCCCCAATTTGCCCAGACATCATCACCACAGTCCTCCCTTCCTCTTTCTGATCCCTGTCTCTCCCCCTTCCCTGTAGGATGGGTTCACTGATAGGAAGAATTAAGAACCGACGAAGACATAGAGGGGAATAATTGTATTGTTATAATACAAAACACAGCAAAAACAGTTGTAAACAAGAGAAATTTGGTTTATAATAAAACAATAAATATAAAATTCTGATATTTAAGTTTTTAAAATGTATATATTTCAAAATCAGCTAATAATGTGCATATATTTTTTATAATGGTGCAAAATTTTAAGATTACCAAGAATATTCAAAAGATAGTTAGAAGAACTTTGGGTTCGGAGACACAAAAGATCATTACTGAAGACCCAGTCTTACAAATCATACTGGCTCTATAATGTGATATATTGCTCAATCTTAGCACTTTATGTTTATTTATATATAGCTATAGTAGACATGTGATAAGTCATGATCTCCCTGGGTTAAAAGACCCATAGTTTCTGTTAGTCATTACCAAGTCTACCATATGACTTAGTGCAAGTTACTAACCTGAGATTAACAGAATCACAGACCAGAGTAGAATCAGCACTTAAAGAAAAATCATTAGAGAGAGGTTCTTTTCCTTGAAGCTCGATTTCAGAAATTTAGAAATTATGAAGCCATTGACAGAGAAAAATAGCCACAAAGGGATATAATGTTACAAACAAGATACATTTATGAGGGAACCACAACTATGAGTTGACAAAAAGACTTGCACTAAGTTAATGCAACTGGAAATTTTATAAGTGATTATATGTAACAAGAAAAGCACAAATATTAAAAAATTTTGAACCATATTAAAGTCAAGTAACTGATACTCAGAAAAAATAAAGAAGAGGTGGGGAATCCGGCAGCTACAGCTCAACTGTGACATACTAAAGACCTTTATATAGGTGACCTCTTTAATGCTAAAAAAATATGGAGGTAGACATTACTACTATGGATATTATACAGCAGAAGGGTAACTTGCAAGTGTCATTCAGCTAAGAAATGGTAAAGTATGAAAAAGAAACCAAGCCTTATCTGCTCACAGGGCAACTAATTATAAGCATCTATATACACTGCTTTTACTAAAGTGAGAAGCCAGAAACATAAGCTATTGAGTGCCAAGATGGGTTTCCATATCAGGAATTTCTAATTATATGGCCATTCTTGCTATTCTAGAGACTACTTTTCAATGGTTTCCACAATGTGTCATATTTTTGTGCCTGTTTTATTTTGCTTTATTTCTAAATTTCACTTCATTCCTTAACTAAAGTGTACATACACTATTTGTCCTTCCCCCAATCAAACCTAGCTAACTAAACAATAACAAGTATTACATGAAATGACAAGCTCTCCATATCATTATCTTACAAAATACTATAAAATGGAAGAAGTAAAATAGTACTCACTTTCTTGAAAATGTATATGACAAAAAAGTTAAATAATCTCTTTCATATATGCATTCATAAGTATTTTGTTCCCAGTACCATAAAATCTAACAGATTTGCATTATGTTTTATACTGGATGATTTTTAATTGTATTTACTGAATATGTTTAAATAAAACTATATGTGATCACTCCAAAAGCATTTAAGTATTACTGTAAGAATTTGGTCTAAGAGGGCTCTCCTTGGGAGTGCAACAGGTTAAAACACAGCACAGTGAAGCTCTCTGAGGAGTTCAATCTCCCGCCAGGGAGCTGACCCAGATGGTGTGGCAGATCTCTCCTGACCTGCCCACTGCTCCCCTCTGCAATGTGTTTCAGTGGATCTGCCTGTCTTGTTCCCTACTCTGTCTCTGATGAATCCTCTCACCCATCACACCTCTTTCTTATACCCCAGTTCTGTAAGCATAAATAAATCTTAAAAAAAAAAAAGAAAAAAAAGAATTTGATTGAAGAAGGTGCAAGGGTTTTAAAGCACAGCATTATAAAGCTATCTGCAGTCACTGCAGGAGTTTGATCCCTGACCTACATGGTAAAGCAGACCTCTCCTATCTCACTGGCTGCTACCCTCAGCAGTGCTCCCCACTCTGTCTCTGTTGAATCCTCTCACATCTCCATTTCTCTCACCTGTATTCCAGTTCTTATATGCATAAATAAATAAAAAACAAAATGTTTTATCTCTTAAAACTTATGCAAATTAAAAAGGAACTCTCCTGCACTGCTGGTGGGAATGCAAACTAGTACAACCACTATGGAAAACTGTTTGGAGGTTCCTCAAACTGCTAAACATGG